TACCTTTAATACCATTGATTTCCTGCACATCAATTATGTTTTTGAACATATATCTCTGAGTGAATGAAAGGCCTTTACTCTGTAGACTTTGAAAATGCATTTCTATACCTTAGCCTTGGGCTGGGGCATTCCATGTTATATAGTGGTATATTGCCTTTTATCATTAATTCCCCTTTAATAAACACAATGTAAGGCTACACAAAGACAGATGCTCAAATTCTCCTGCGTATGGCCGTGTATGGATGGAAAGGATTGTTTGGCGTTTGCTCAGTTTGGACGTGAATGACATCTCGTCTGGATGATTATCATCGTCTGGTCGAAATTTGGCCTAGTGATTAAGCTGCCAACTGAGACTCCCACTTCCCACATCAGAGCCTGGAGTTGAGTCCCAGCTCTGCTCCCCATTCCAGATTCCCGTTAATGCAGACCCTAGGAGGCAGCAAAGATGGCTAAAGTAGATGCATTCCTGCCACCTACATGGGAGCCCTGGATTGGGTTTTCAACTCCTGGTTTTGATCTAGCCCAGCCCAGGCCACTGCAGGTATTCGGGGCGTGAACCACTGGATTAAAGTCACACTCTATCTCGACTTCTCAATTAATTCATAATTTTATATTATCAAAAATGTTATAAAAGGCTTATTTGGCAAGTAACAAATTATTCTCCACAAATTGTATTACATATGACCATGGTGAAAATAGCACTGCAAACGCAAATTTTAAAGGAGAGATAATCAACTAAATCATTATTGGATGTATTAGTAATAACTGTGAGATAAACATTCATGTTTAATTAAAGGTAATGAGTGAGATTTACCCCATTCAAGGTGCAAATCTGGTCTTGATTTTATGTACCAAAGACTAGCAATCTACACCCTGCAAGTCAAGGACGAGCTTGGTTCTGAAAAGGGCTCTTGAACAAAACACGTCTCTTGCTCCGATCTTCCTTCCCAGGGAGGGTGCCCTTCACCTGCTGCCTCAACAGAGAAGTGTAGTGGAAAGTGGATATGCTGCCTGTGAAAAACTTACAGACCTCAGAAATAGAACCAGATGCTGGCTGGCTGGCTCGCTGGCTGGACGGATGGATGGATGGATAAGGGAGGAAAGGAGAGAGACAGAGATGGACAGGGAGAAGGAAGGAGATATGGTGGGTAGGATGGATGGAACTACACATGGAATTTGAAGAAAACATCAAACCTTCCTTTTTGGTTCAAGCAGATATTTTTGCCACATTTTCCCAAGGCAGCATTTTAAATTAATCCTGTTATCCCATGAAAGTTATGTGTCATAGTCTTGTAAAAATAAGAAAAATGGCCAAAGTCATAGAATGCAGTGATACAAGCATACTTAAGATTGAGGCCAGACTTTTAAAAGCAACTAATGTGAAGGGCAAAAACATACTTTATGAGGTGTCATGAGTCTGACGGTATAATTTACCTTCATCTACCTCTTATAAGAAATACAATAACAATATAATAGTTTAGTGTTAGGTGTTTATTACATGCCAGGTACTCTCTAAAGACCTTTATAAGTATTACATATTGAATTCTCATAGCCATGCTCTGGGGTAATTACTGTTATTGACCGTGTGGTGGAGATAAAGTAACTGAAGACCAGACTGATGAAGTCATGTATTATCACCTCATTTGATTTTTATTGGAGCAGTGGTCATTGCAACAGCTGAAACCAGTTTGCAGTAGGCTTTTTTTTTTTTTTTTGCTTCCTCCCTCTTTGCCCCCGCCCCCCAACAAACACAGATCTGAGTGTCGGTGGGCAGATGCTCACCTAAGCCATAGTTCCAGAGAAGAGATAGGACAGACATGGCCTCTGCCCTGTTGGAGGCACTATGTTAATTCTTGAACCATCTTTTAGATTGATTTTCTTTTCCTTGAAATTACCATGTTCTTTTCAGAATTCTTTGCCGGAAGAACTCAGGACATGAAATAAGTAGAAATCACAGTGCCTTACAGCTTAGTTTTAATTAAGGAGGTCTTGAAGTTTGGAGTTCAGACTCTGACACCATACTGCTTGTGTCCCCAGTTCACCTTAGCACACTAAGTCCAAAGTTCTCAATTCCACAGCTATTTCAGTGGCATAATATTTATTTCAGAGTTACCATAAATGGCATATTTATTGCTCATTTTAAGTTTGTATAAGTGTCCAATAGTAGAACAATGAGACATAATGAGTTAGTACATTTGCAGTCTTAGCACTGGCCTTAATTTCCTTCTGCCTTGGTTTCCTCTATCAAAAGGCATAATAGTAATACCTGTCTCTTAAGAGTTGTTGATTTGATTATTCCAAGCAATACAGATATACCTGGTACATTGTAAATGAATTGATATCATGAGTTACTCTTTGAAGATGATATATTTTTTTTTTTTTTGGACAGGCAGAGTGGACAGTGAGAGAGAGAGACAGAGAGAAAGGTCTTCCTTTGCCGTTGGTTCACCCTCCAATGGCCGCCGCGGTTGGCGCGCTGCGGCCGGCGCACCGCGCTGATCCGATGGCAGGAGCCAGGAGCCAGGTGCTTTTCCTGGTCTCCCATGGGGTGCAGGGCCCAAGCACCTGGGCCATCCTCCACTGCACTCCCTGGCCACAGCAGAGGGCTGGCCTGGAAGAGGGGCAACCGGGACAGAATCCGGCGCCCCGACCGGGACTAGAACCCGGTGTGCCGGCGCCACTAGGCGGAGGATTAGCCTAGTGAGCCGCGGCGCCGGCCTGAAGATGATATTTTTCACTAATGAATTTCTGTTATGTAATGGAAGTCTAGGATTTTGTCTATACTAGATCTGGAGAAGGATTACTGAACACCAGCCATGAGTTTCAAGCAAAATAAAAGTAACAAATTTAAAGGATGTGTAGGAAAAATTAAGAAGTCATACTTGTTACTGTGTCTGGAATGTCGTAAGTTCATGTGGCACATCTTTTCTGATAGGCAGTCATGTTTGGTTTTTATGAACAAAATGCTTTAAAAAAAGAAAGAAATCAGTGCCTATTAAATAAGATTTAATAGACCAGAAAATGTGTAAAACAGAGACAAAGGGTAAAAATCACAAAGAAGCAAATTGGCAGTGAGAGGATTGGGAACCACTCTTCTGGAACTTCTGTGGGCCTTAGAGAATTATCTAATAATTCAGAAATAGCAATCATACTATATACTAAGATACAGTTACTGTGATATATAATTAGGGAGACCTCTAAATGAGTGATCATGAAAGATTGCAGAATTTTAGAACAGAGGAATTTAGAGATTTGTTTTATTTGGTTGATTGACTGTGGGTTGGATAGTTAAGACTTTAGAAATTCCTCTATTTCATAACTCTTTGAAAATATTATTACAGTGGAAAACATCTTCCTAAAAGCTAGAGAAAATGATACTGGTATATAGCATAGCAGAATATTTTTCTGTGCTGTGGCTTCCCTTTTATATGATATAAGCTATCTGAGTCACTCAGCATTCATCTGCTATGCTTTTTAAGATTTCTGTATCCTATTTATTTGAAAGACAGAGTGACAGAGAGAGGGAGAGAGAGAGAAAGAGTGATAGCGAGAGAGAGCTCTTCCATCCTCTGGTTCACTCCTAAAATGCCTGTAATAGCCAGGGCTGGACCAAGCAGAAGATAGGAACCAGGAACTCCATCCAGGTCTCCTATGGGAGTGGCAGAAACTCAAGCACCTGAGCTGTCAACCAGTGCTTCCCTAGCACATTAGCAGGGAGCTAGATCAGAAGTGAAACAGTCAGACCTCGAAACAGCGCTTCAATAGGAAATGTGGACATCCCAAATGACAGCTTAACCTGCTGTGCCACAATGCCCACCCCCATCTGCTTTCTTTTTAGCTTTTTTTTTATATTTATTTATTTATTTATTTATTTGAAAGTCAGGCTGACAGGAGAGAGAGCATGTGCAAATCTACCCACCAGTTCATTTCCTAAATGGCTGCAATGGCCAGGTTGATCCAAGCTAAAGCCAGAAGCCTAGAACTCCATCCAGGTCTCCCACGTAGGTGGCAGGAGCCCAAATACTTGGGTCATCCTCTGTCTGCTGCTTTCCCAGGTACATTAGCAAGGAACTGGATCAGAAGTGGAGCACCCAGGACTCGAACTGGTGCTCTGATACAGGTTGCTGGCATCACGAGTGGCAGCTTAAGCTACTGTGCCACAACACCAGCCCCTAACTAAACTTTTTTATTAATGACTTCAATCTAAGATTTTTAATGCTATCTATTTTTTATCTATTTGAAAAGGAGAGAGAGATATCAAGAGAGATCCTCCATCGCCAGGTTCACTCCCTAAATGCCTACAACAGTCGAGACTGGAACAGACGGAACCAGGGTCTTCCATGTGGGTTGTAGGACCCAATTATCCAGTTACTTCCAGGATGGGCATTAGCAGGAAGCTGGAATTGGGAGTTGAGCAAGCTCTCAAACCCATGCGCTATGACATGAGATGTAGACATCCCAAGTAGCATGTTAACTGTCATGCCAAACGACACCTCCCCTGCCTGCCCCTACTACACTTTTAAAGAGCATTTCAGTTTAAAAAGATTTGGAAAATTTGTTTTGAGTGCATACACAGACGTCCTAAACATGCCTATATACACCAAAAGGTATCTGATACTCTTCAGTTTAACCCCACCACCACCACCCGCTGAGTGAGAGGGTAGTTTTCAAAACATAATTTTTTCCTGCAAATAATTTGATTGGTTTAATCAGAAAACATTAAGTTTAGTGTGTAGGTAGAGTTTGAGCTTCTTCCATAGTACTTTTAGAGTAAGGGCTATTCATTTTGGTTATTGGTCTAGAAATGAAAACGCAGTTATAAGAGTATTTTTATTCATTAACACTATAGGGCTTTCATTGCCCAAGTGAAGAGCACCTCGCTCCTACAACTGGTGCGTAGAGAAGCAGCATTGTACAATGAGTGGTATTTTATTACTGTTACTGAAAATGCTAAGTGAAGGCACCCACCGCAAGGCCTGACGGCTGGGATGTTCTTTCAGCCTCCACAGATGACAGCGCGGCCGAGAAGAAAGGGGGGAGCCTTCACGCCGGCCTCATTGTGGGGATCCTCATCCTGGTGCTCATCATAGCTGCAGCCGTTCTCGTGACAGTCTACATGTATCACCACCCAACATCAGCTGCCAGCATCTTCTTCATTGAGGTAGGCATCCAGCGCAGCACATCAAAGCCGTGCCACTTGACAAACGGCATCCCTGGGCTAAGGCCACCTGTAGTCCATATTGAGCATGTGGCGTTGTCCGTTTCTAGCTGGCTGAGCTCACACGTGCACGTACACACACGTGCGTACATTTACTTAGATTGCTTTCATGTGATGAGTTCCGTTACCTTCTCTGAAGAAATAAGTTGTCTTGCCTCTTACAGATCAGAAAAATAGGAACCATATTTTTGTCCTCTTATACCAAGTTTGTTAACCAGCTGGTCTCCTGATCATGGGAGGAAATTCTGCATATCCTGTAGGCGGGAGGATTATTATTATTATTAACCAATAATTTCTGATTGAATATTCCATAGGTGCATAAAACAGTGTAATAGGCCTGCTCTCAAAATGCTCACAATTTGTTTAGAAAAACATAGGCCTCTCACTACAAAATGACAGATGACAAAATAAGGTGCAGGTATATGCCATAACCATTTCATGTAATATTTGCTTATTTTTATTCTGATGTGTAAATGCATATACCCACACACACATATGCAGGGAGAGAGTGCCATGCGGGACTGGTGTTGTGTTCTCATGTACAGAATGTTGAATTGCCCCGGTATCCAGGAGCAGCACTGTGAGGAGTCAGAGCCAAACCCTGGTCTCTAGAAAGTAGAAACAGGCAGCCTGGGACCCCTGACAACAGACAGTATCGCCAAGTCACCTGTCCCCCAAAAGGCTGGGTTTCTGAGCCCCCACTGCTTGTAGCTTTCACTCTAACATTTCAATGAGCCATTCCTCTTCCAAAACCAAATAATACTAGAGTAACAAAGGAAATCTTCCCTTGCACTGTTTCAACTGTGTAAGAGTTTAATTCTGATTTATTGTATGATGCACATAAAGGTTCCTTGGAATTGTGTTCACTTGCTGAATAATAAATTGTAATGCCTTTTAAACTGTGGAGTTAAATTACCTTTGCCCCCAAAATAGGGAGGGATAAATGCAAATCAATGAAACAATTGCTCCAAAGGTCGATAATGACTGTCTACTGTCTGTAGACGCAAGGGCAACTTCCTTGTGTGGGAACTAAGACCTTGGCAATCTGCATCTTATCGGTCATTTTCTGTCGGTCCCATGGCTTCCCAACCTGGAATTGGTGCTGTTGTCAAATTTTACCCTTTGCTCTTCTCCATGTATACCCTAAACACTCCCTGAAGACATTGTTTCTTCTATTCCCCACATCCAAAAAGCCCTCCTCTCCCACCCCAGATCTTCAGTTGAGGAATCAAACAGATGCCATGTACCCCATAAGGTTCCCAAGCTGGAGATGATATATTCTCTCTCTCTCTCTCTCTCTCTCTCTCTCTCCTCTGAAACAACTCTATCTGTAGTAATACACCCATGCCTCGCTCTGGCATTTGCTTTTCTGTTTTGCAATAAAGGTACACCTGTACACGATTCATTCCATCGTACCTGAAGTCCCTTAAGATCTAGATTACACAACTTAAGTTTCTTTCGAAACAATTGGTATTCTATCACCATTTCCTGGGAAAAATGCATAACAAATATCCTAGGACATTTCAGATTTCCAGGGAAATATCATTTAAGGCCTATTCCAGAAAAAGCACTCTTGTTTAATATCATAGTAGCTGGAAAATGATCAGGCGGAGCATTTAGTTGAAACTCTGCTATTAAGCTGTGTTAATGTGCTCGATTTTCATGACAGAAAGCAGGCAGCTTTCCTAGGGTCATGTGGCCATTTCTCAAAAAGCTGACAAGTGACAGGCGGGAAAGCCTCAGTGACCACCAGCCATCAGACTGTCGCTGCCACTGTCACCCCACACATGCCTAAGCCTTATTTAATAATACACTTTGCCTTCTATTTTCTGACATTGTGAAAAAGAGGATACTGTGAAGTAACTGACGGTGACGGTATCGGCAGCAGATCGTCCCGCCTGAAGGATCGGGTTAAGGCCCCTTCTGTGTGACTGCACAGTGAGCCTGCGGAAGAGCAGGAGTTTTGTTTCTGCGCTTGCTGTTTTGAACGCGTCACATTATTTTATAATTAGAGGATTATGGATCTACACAGGGACGAGGTGGTATGCACCCTCACGTGTATTTATGGAAAGTTACAACTTAAAAGGAAGCTTAGAGAGAATTTAATCCTTTGCCTTCTTAACACGAAGAGAGGCTGTGGCTCAGAGGGAGGAAGGACTTCACCAAGGTCAGCCAGCCTCGATTCCCAGTGCAACTCTCATCTGTCCACACTGCAGGAGCAGAATCATTCTGCACGTGCCTCACTTTCCTCCTCTCTGCCTTTTTCTTCGCTGTCAATTGCCAGGATTGAGTGATATCACTACCTCTCCAGCATCCTGCTGTGGATGGTTTCCAGAAAATGGCGATCAGTACTGTACTCTTTCCAAAGCTCACCAGTGTTTGCCAACTCGAAACACAGATCCATGGAGACCCCTCAGGTTGTGACATGCCAAACCTATGAATGTGGGGATTTGTAAATGGCCCACTAAATCAAATTACTGATGCATAATTAAAGCAGTAGACTATAACAGTATTGTTTACGTTGTACTTTATGTTCCGTATTCTTCTGCAGTCTACTTTTAAGTGAAATAGAAGTGTTTTTCCCATTATGAAAATGATGTCACTCAATATAGAAAATCAGGTCACTGCAGGAAAATGATTGCCACCCTAGCATATACAATCATTATTAATATTTTAATTTTCTTCTGCAATTGTTACATGTGTAATTTGATGTTTGCCCCAATTTCATTAAAAGACAAATGATATCCTTTTTCTTAAAAAATGACATTTCTATTTTATTATGAACTCTTGGAAAATGTCTTTTTAATGCTGTCTACTGTCTCATTCAACATATCCTTTGATAGCTTTATGTCAATTGCATCTTATGCTATTAAGTGGTAATCCAGAAAGTGTGAGAGGCTAACAGGTGCCTAGAAGTCAAAAAGAACCTTATTGCACCTAATTTAAGACAATGTGGTTTTTCCTTTTGCTGCTGTAACTAATGATCACAAATCTGTAGCTTAAAAATAGCACGCAGACTATCTAGAGGTCAAAATCAGTCTCGCCAGGCTAAGTGAAGGTGTCAGCTGGGCTAGTTCCTACTGGAGGTTCCAGGAGAATCCTGTCCTTGCTATTTGCAGCTTCTAGAAGCTGCCTACATTCCCTGGCTCGTGGTCCCTTCTTGTGTCACTCCCACCTCTTTCCATCATGAAGAGTTTGTTAATAATCCTTATATCTGAACTTGCAATTTAATAATAAGTGGTATTATCATCAACATCATCTTATCATTTAGGATTTTTTATGTAACTCTGGATATATATTTGTGAAAAAAACTTAATAAATAAATAAGACTGCTCTCCAAAGTATTTAATGGTCTTGGAGGGAAAAAATGGTTTTAGCACCTTAAATGATCCATACTGGTTTGAATTAGAAGTTCTAAGATGGTTTTCGCAATAAAACCTGTACCTGACAGTCCACAAACCAGTCATTGTTCATATCGTGCTTCAAAAATTCTTGCCATTCCTGGGGGACCAAAACATCTGCCTTTAGTAGAAGTGCCCAGTGCTTTCTATCAGCAAAATCATAGGATAACAGAGCAATAAACAGCCTCAGTGTGCATTTAACCTAGTGACTCTGTCACTCTTCCAAAATCAAATATATGAACTCCTCAACTGCATACCACAAGGCCATTTCCTTGAGGTTTTTGTTTTTTCTTAAAAAGTCTATGATTTTTGCTATATTCTATAGTATAGACATGTATGTTAAATGGAAAAAGAAAAGATTCTGTGATTCTTCAACCAATATTAAGACTCCCCAAGACAGTTCTTTTCTCTTCTGTAACTTGGTATGTCTCTGGCAGCCAGTTCTATAAAATAAAATCCAGGTAAATATTCAAACCAGCAGAGACCTCTGTTCCTGCAGCCTGAGAGGGGAGCATTCTTCTTCCCCGTTGGTTGGAGTCCAGTCCGATATACAAACGCAGACTCTGGCTGGTGAAGCACTGCTCAGGGCACGCGCCACCGAATGAGCGAGCCAAGACCTCACCTGGGGCTCCTCGTCCTGCTCCTGCAGCCTGTGCTGCCACAGCAGCAGCTGCGGCCCAAGAGTCTTTAGAGCAGTGTGCCATCCAGGGGACTCCGCATCCTGACAAATACTTGTGGATAACAAGGACTCACGGAGAATAGGACTAAAGGAGTATAGACAGCTGTGGCCCTCAACTTTTCCTGGCTATCGTAGTAGCACCAGGAAAGAAACCATAGAAAACAATCAATGGCTGCTGCTTAGGAGAAGAAAGTTATTTCCTGAGAGCCTTGGCATCTTGGTTTGCTGCAGGCTAGAGGCATAGCATTTGGAATTCAGGAACATGATCCATTGACTAATCTGTACAGTAAAGAGAAAAATAGTTTCAGAGAACCACAAATATCTTTTATCTTGAAGCCATACTTTTTTTATAACTGAGTTTTGCCCTTAAGGTGTTTCTTGGTTTTATTTCAGAATTAAAATTCCAGGGGAAAAAATGACTCATTGAAACAAAATGCATCTTTCTTTTGTTAGAGGAGCAAACAGTGGTATTCACTTGTGAATTACTGCTGCAAGGAAGGAAAGATTGGGCAAGACCAACTGCAGTGGTTTGACATCCTCTGTAGAAAAGATGTATTATTAGATGACAGCTTTCTAGAAATAAAGCAAAATGTAGGGAAAAGGATGCAAAGCTGGGCTACTTCTTAAAAAGAGACTATTTATGTATCAGTTGTTCTGAGGAGCTGGAATTATATTCAAGTACGTCAGTGAATGATTTTGAGACATCAGTTCAAATTCATGGTGATTGCCTTATACAAAATCACCAAAATAAGATTTCTTTTATAGATGTTGTCTGCAATTTACTCTCCTGGTTAACATTTTCATTTAATTCTAAAACTGAGGGAGTGTTTCTAATTTAATGCAATATTTTTCTCTTTATTGGG